AACTTAGCACAATACCCGAACTACAAGGAGAATCAGAGGGCATCCATCCTAGATGGTCTATCATGGCGATGGAGGAACACTAGAGTTTAGAGAATTACGAGATTGCCTAGGGCGACCAAGGAGGAGGAGGGCTAGCCCACAGCTATCAAGCGGTACTGAGTTCTCCCCCCATGTCCACGTCCTGCCAAGATTCAAATTGGGCATCACCCTCGGCTGGTTCTGGGGAACTGGTACGACTTTTGCAGGTGCGCTCAATTTCAGCCCGACGTCATAGCTTGTGCTCCTCCCTTAGACGCTGGAGTTTACCTTCCAACCTCCTCCAAGCATCATATTGCTCATGGAATTTGGGACAGGGGAAGTCTAGTGTACTGCACTAGAAGAAAGGCAGTGAGACAATATCTCATTATATATGTACCTCCTTGAAGTTGTCATAAGGGTTCGGGGAAATGGGGGAGGCTTCACCATGGACCATCGAGGCTTGGGAAAATGTCGTCCCAACCATAGGGTCCTAGCCCTCCCCAATAATTGGAACCAACCAACCGTGGGGAGGAAATGGACTCCAAAGAGGAAGAGGAACAAATGCTGGAAAGATCTAAGGAAACTGGCTCTTTCTCGGACATAATGAAGGAGGAATGAGCAATGAGAGAAAAAAGAAGTTGAAAACTAAAAAAGAAGTGGTTACAAGATGGCAGCTTTAAAGGGCCGCTGGCGTGATAAACGAAGAGAACCCTGCACTCTTGGGCCAGGGTTTGGGCCGAAACTAAGCAAACACAACTCCAGAGATGACCCAACATGAAAATAGAAGGTGAAACTTAAACAGAAGAAGCAATGTCTATAAAGCAAGGATAGTTGAACTAAGTACATTGCAAAAATAAATACACCAAGTCATTACAATTCAGAAGCAAGAAAGGTCGTCTGTGGAACGTCGTCGGTGTCTCGGGCCCTAGCCAAGTCCACCCTTGTGCTTTCCTTTAATTTCTTCCTCAGCATCGGACAATCCCTCCGCATCCTTGTAAAGCACGAGATCAAAGTCTCAAAGCTTGTTTCAAGGAGGGGGGAGGTCTATATTCAGTATTGAGACCCCCTCGGGGAGTGAAGAGAGCTTGCGAAAGAAAACTTGGTGAGCTTGGAAAATCCCCAATTCGAAGGAAAGCGTGCTTTATTGAACCAACTAGTTAGCCCCAGCATTTGTCTTCAGCCACAAGGAGACAAACTTGTCCATCCGACCAAGGGTGGTCGTCTGGAAATCATCAGGGGAAGCCTTTAAGGCCTCAACCCCCCCTGAAGGCAACGGCCTAGCTCATCCTTCTTCGCCTCCAAGGTCCTTACACGAGACAACAAGGATGCAGTCTCAACAGCCAGCGAACCCTTCTCTCTCCAGCTGAGCGATGCGGTTATGGAGGACGATGTTCAGCTGGCTCTCCTCAAGAAGCTTCTCAATGTAGCAGGTGGCCTCCCCAGCATAGTGGTTGGCTTTGTCCTTCAGCTCCTGTCTCTTTGCTACAAACAGCTCCCTCTCATTTTTAGGGCCAGTTGGAGGTTGGTCATTAGGGGGATGAGTTCCATCAACTAAAGGAAACCGCGGGAAGAAAAGAGGGTGTTAGTGCCATTAGTCGTGACGTCAAATACGGAAAAGGGATTTCAAGCACCAACCTTGCCAATATTTAGGAACGCCGAATTGCCCAGGTCGAAGTCGCTACGAGCGACTAGAGTAGTCTGCTTGGCAGAAGTCAAACCTAGTGAGTTACATTGTACTCTCAAGCTCTAATATCTAATAATAATCCAACCCAACTCCCGATTCAGGTTATCTGGTGGAATTCTTGTCCATCAGGTAGTGTGGCGGGGAAGGGACGTTGTGATGAGTGATGACAACAGGGGGAGGCAGTGCGACGGTAAGCGAAGGCAATGTGGTAACCCAAATTAATATAATCTTAAGAATTAAGAAAAAATGAAGATAATGTCGGTGCTGGATACTCTTATTGATATCAAAAATGTCATAATAGTGTTAGATAGGTAATTTTAGCTACTCTATAGTGCTACATAAGAAAACCTTCTTGTTATTTCCTTTGATAGGTAATGAAAATAAGCCAATAAAATAAATAAAGCTTAATTTTATGAATATTGAAGAGAAAGATAATTTTAATTTTTGGAGGGAGAAAGTAAAGTACTTAAAATCACGTCAAATTATAATCCAAAAAGGAAAGGGGACGTTCTTTGAATGGGGCGATAGACATGAGTTAAATCAAATGGCCCGACCAGGCTATTATTAATGTCTAATTAGATAGCTAAGCAATGTTTTGATTTCCCATTCCAGCCCTCGTATGGTCCCCAACACAAAGTATCCAGCGAGGGCAGTTTAGGAATTTAGAACCCAAACCGCGCGCCTACCCATAACTCATTCTCAATTAAGTCCCCAAACCCAACTATAAATTCTATATATATTTCCTCCCCCCACCCCCAAAAGCAACTCGATCATCACTTTAAATTTTAAAAATTTTATTTAATTTATCATCATCGTCATCATTATTGTAATTAATCATTATATATACTCCAGCTACACCCACACGCACGCACATTGCATATATATACAAGTGGGATGCCGGAGTATATATATAATAATACGAAGAAGGGCGGCGGCGAGAGGGGCGGCGGTGCGGAGGAGATGAGGTACGAGAGCTGCGGGTGCGGCGGCGGAAACTTGTTCCAGAGAATAGGGAGTGTGGTGAGGGAGCAACGGGCGAGATTCTATATTGCGCGCCGGTGCGTTTTGATGCTCGTTTGCTGGAAAGACTGCACTGATTCTTGATTCACTACTCGTTCTCAGCTAGCTAATTGTAATTAATTAAGCTAGTTTATTAATTTCTGTGATTCTTATTCTTCATTGTATACTAAACCCAGTCATCATCACTTTTTAAAGGAATTAATTTTGGATTGTTTTCCCATTAATTAACTGCCGTTGTATGTGTCTAATTCGTTTGTGTTTAATTTCTTAATTATGTTTGGATAAATAGGGGAGAAAATAGAAGTAATTTAAATTAAATTTCAATCATAGAGTATAGTTTAATTTTTTCTTAAAGTTAATAGACTCTTTTTCAAGTGAGTTTGGATATAATTCCCACACATTGCCTCAGCTAGATTCTATTGTGGGGAAACCGAACTTGAAGGATGCAATGGTAACTCATTTCTCATGGAACATATTCGACAAAAAAAATTCAAATACATTCATGTTTTTATTTTTAAAATAAGAGTTAAAATGCATATTGCATATACAATGTCAATCATTACCATACATATTACCAAAAAGCATTATGAAATGTTCATATACAATGCTACATTACTACAATGCAAACATGGGCGGATCCACACTACATCTAATGGGGGCACTTGCCCCCAATGAAATTTTGTTTTTATTTAATTAATACATTAATATATTTTCCTAAAAATTAATATTGCCCCCAATGAAAAAAATAATTTGCCCCCAATGAAAAAAAATGTTCAAATATAAAAATGAATTTTTTCAACTTTTTTGAAATGAACAAATTATTTAAACTAAAAATAAAAGAATTACAAAATGAAAATTAAACTATAATATTAACTAGAAGATAATTCGAAAATAAAAATTACAAGAGAAAGTAAAATTATAGAGAGTACTTTTGAGATTTTTCATTAATCATTTGAATGTTTTATTAAAAAAATATTTTTTTAAAAAAATTACTTTGATTTTAAAAAATGGGGGCGCTACCCTCGAACTTTTGTACTACTCTTGCCCCCAGTCGCTCCGAATCCTGGATCCGCCACTGAATTACAAATTTAAGAAAAAATTAAAAAGTGATTATAGTTAAGTAAAAAGTCAATACTCCTTTCATTTTAGAGAAATTATCCATTTTTTTGCAGTCAAAATTAATAAAATTTAACTATTAATTAAATAAAACTTATACTCCGTATTAAATATTGATACAAGAATAATTTTATTAGATTTATCTTGTAAAAATATTTTAAAATTTTTTTACCTAAGTGGTTTAGCATGTAATTTGTATTTATTTATATGTCAATGATTAATTTGGATTGATTGCAAAGAGTTAAAAATGAACAAATACTTTAGAACGAAGGAAGTAATTTGTAATTGAAATTGATTTGGAAGAGAGAATTAAACATGTCCGTATATTTTTTTAGAAGAAAATAAAAAAGTGTAAAGTTAATCTACTCTCTAGACATTCAAAAAAGAAAAGCATTCTTCAAAAATATTTTTGAAGTTCTTTCAAATTAAAGACAAATGGAGTATACTTCTGAACTCTTCAAAAATCAATGCAAAATTTTTTTATTGAAAGGAGGTAACCATGTGAGCTAGTGGCATACTCTTTAGTTTGTGCCTATGTATGATTTGTATGATTTTTTAAAATCATGCATGATTTAATTTGTATGGTTATGATACAATTTTGTAATATAATTAGTCTTATTAAATCATAAAAGTTTCACTCTAATATATAGAAAATATAAGTGAGAATCTTAATCATAATATAATAATAACAATAATACAAGTAATATACTAAGAAGAGTATAAATAAACTGAGTAATAGTAATAATTGTTTCCTATTTTCTTTATTATTCCTAATATCCGATCCCTCCGCAAGTTTTGATCATCGGTAACGAGGAGCAGTTTCAGCACATGTATTTGAATGGAGTCAACGGAAGAGATTTTGCGAGGATAGATGCTAGAAGTAGAGAGGAAGATATTCGTTGAATGAAGAACGAGCTTGAGAGTACATTAATTGGTTGAGTTCTTTTGCAGAGAGAGTATTGGCGATTGGAGTAAAGGCGAGAAGCTTCTTTTTCTCTCATTGCGGGTCATTTTCTACTTCTCTATTGCTTTCCATGCTTATGATAGATTGCCAGAAGAAACACAGACAACAGCTTTCTAGTTTTTGATCATGCACATGATTTTTTTGGACATAGAGATAGAGGGATAAAGTGTTAAAATTCCAGCGGGCCAAGAACAACGGATTGAGTGTCGGGTAAAATTAACCAGTTGCACATAAAGTTGGGATACTCAAGTTAGCACTTGGACAAACGGGTCTAGTTAGCACTTAGACAAACGGGTCTAGCATCTCAATCTCTTATAGCTAGCCCACACTACGTGCGGTGGCATCTCAATCTCTTTTTAGCCAACTCAGCCCAAACCACAGACGGATAGCTCATTTTTGCTAAACCCACATCCAAACAACCAGGAACAATCAAACCCGGACCGGACCTGCTCTGATACCATGCATGTTAAAATTCCGACGGGCCAAGAATAACGGATAGAGTGTTGGGTAAAATTAACCACTTGCACATAAAGTCGGGATCCACAATTCTAACCCAAAAACTTAAGCTGATTGGTAGAGCTTCACCGTTCAATATATGCTAGTGATACTCATCGTTATTTTCCGATGTGGGAACTCCAACATAAAGGACGATGATTGTCAAGCACACTCATAATTGTTTGTTGAGAAAGAGAAAGATAAGGGACAGTACCTGTTAGGCATGCACGTCGCAATTGTTTGTGGTTGTTAAGCACGCACACTATTTTTTTGGAGAGTGAGAAACTCATTCTCCGATATCATGATACAATTTGATACTCCCTCCGTCCAAAAATTTCTTTCCGTTTTGGCTGGGCACGAAGAGTAAGAAAAGATAAAAAGTGTTCACATGTTTTGCCTTTGATGTGATGCGATAAAGTGAATAATGTAAAGAAAAAGTAGTAGTATTATGGCATATTCATTTAAAAATTTTTACCAAAATAAGAAACGAAAAAGAAATTTTTGGATAACCCAAAAAGGAGAGTGGGAAAGAAATTAATGGACAGAAGGAGTAATAATTAGTCTTATTGAGTAATGAATGTTTCATTCTTATACATAAACAATAGGAAAAATTGATATAAATACTCCCAGAAATTCAAAATTTTACAATAATACTCCCAAATTTAATAAAAGACCCTGGTGCTCCCAATTAAACTATAAGTTTACATCACTACTCCCATTATGCCTAATTAGCTTTTCTTACACACTTACATGTAAGTAATTATGCTTAGTTGACATCTTAGTTGTTTTTTTTGTTTTAATAAGAGGAAAATATTTTCCTTTTACGTGTTATGATGTTTCATAAAAGTGGTGTGAAACCAAAAAATAAAATTATATATCTAAAAACTACATCATAAGATTTATAAAACTAGCAATGATATAATTACTTAATTTTATCAAGTATATAATTAAAATAGGTAAGCAAAGTAAATAAAATTTGATCTTGTTAATACTCTTAACAGTGAATGAGAAGATAATTTTTGGACGGAGGGGGTATTTTGTATTAAAATATAAAAAAACAACTACGATGCCAATTAAGCTCAATTAATTAATCTGTAATATTACTAAAAAAATTATTTTTACATATTACTATATTAGTCTTTGAATATGTAATTTTTATTTTTTAATTTCACACCTTTTTTCATATAAAATACTTTAAAAGTAATTTCAGTCAAATATCGTAACGTGCAACGAGAATATACTTTTGGGAGAAATGGAGTCTTTATTTAATTTTGGGAGTATTATTGTAAAATTTTGAATTTCTATGAGTATCTATATAAATTTTTCCACTTATGAAAACAAAAAAACAACTAAAATGCCAACTTAGCTTAATTAATTATATGTAAGCGTAGGAAAAGCTTAATGGGAGTAGTGACGTAAACCTATAATTTAATTAGGAGCACCAGAGTCTTTAATTAGTTTTGGGAGTATTATTGTAAAATTTCAAATTTCTGGGAGCATTTATATCAATTTTTCCTAAAAAATATAAGAGATAATGTTAACCATAGTAGAATATACAATTGTGGAAGTAATATACTACCTTGTAATAGAGTCAATAACATTCAAAAAAAAACTAAAGAAAAAATAATGATAATATTTGTTTCATATTATCTCTATTATATTCTAAATAGGTTATTACAAAAATGTTATTATTACCCCCATTCTAGCAAACAATTTTATTCACTCCATCACATCAAATTTTTTATTCCCTACACTACTAATTTATTCACTACAGTACTAATAAATTCTCAATTTAATGATGTGTGTTCCAATTAATTATTTTGTGTAAAACATGGTACAACCAAGTGATCGAACATGTTGGTTCTTATTAATTAAACTAATAAGTAATACTCCGTAACTAATAGCTAGTTGATTTAGAAAAACTGTAAAGTGAATAAGTCTTGACCTGATTATAATTTTTTTTAAACATTTAATCACAAGTATTTTAATTTATTGGCACTATTAGCTTTATAAAAGTATAATATTTGTTTGTCAGTATTTTCTCAACCTACTAAAGAACAAAAAATATCTCTTCTCACCCGAGTATGAACTTGAATTGTAATCTATAAAATTTAAGAGAGACACAATTATACTACTCGACCATAAAGTTTTTTTTACTAATCATATATAGAGTATTAGATACGAAATAGTTCTTAATAAATCACCCTAAATATGACTAAAACATAAAACTCCTATCTTAGTATATTTTCAATGTTTACTCATACTTTACTATTTTTCCAATTAACAATTAACGATGTTTATAGTATAAACTTTAGTCTTTATATTTTATTTCAAGGTTTTACTCATACTTTCTTCATTAATGATTTTACTATAAACGATTTCCTAATTACTCCCTCCGTTCCACAAAACCCATCCTCTTTAATTTTTTTTTGCTTTCCACAAAATACTTCCACTTTCTATTAAAAAACCACTTTTACTCTTACTTTTCATACCCTACCTATCACATCATACTTTTTCACTAATAACCAAACTATCACATCTTACTTTTTCCCATCACATCAGGGCAAAATTGGAAAGTCAACTAAGATTACACTTTCCTTATTTTTTCACAAAGTCAAAACCGGAAGGGTTTGTGGAACGG